GGGTGAGGGGTAGGTGGGGAGCTGCTCACATGCTAGGTCCTGGGAGCCGGCCGGAAGTGGGAGGAGGGGTGTGTGCAGGGGACGCATGAAGCAGAGCTCGCCCAGGTGGTGAAGGTGTAGTTTTCCACCCAGCCGCACTTGCTCCCCGTGGGACAGACCGAGCTGTGCTCCTGCCCTCCCTGGCCAGTGCACAGAGCTTCTCGGTGGGGCTGCTCCTAGTGCACCTGCAGGCACCCAAGTATTATTTGGCCTCCAGCTCCCAGCTGCCTTCCACCCACTCTACCCGCCCACCTGCAGGCAGCTGAGTGGGTGGAAGGCAGCCAGGAACTGGAGCCCCACATGCTAGTTTATGAACCACCCAGGTGGAGCTTCCCCCCCCCCGGTTGAGCATGTGGTGCCTGGCATGTATCCCTACAGCTCCCCTGTGCTCCCTCCTCCCATGAGTGGCACAGCAAGGGCAGGAGGAGCCACCAGGGGTTGAGGGGAGGAGGAGCTAAACAGTACTAGGGGTCTGTGACCACATTGAAAGCAGCCTTGCTGGGAATCTGTGTGCACTGGCAAGCGGGAACATGGCATGGGCTGCCCCAGGTGGGAGTGTGCAGGGCTTGGCCCCATGTGGAGTACCACAGGCTGGATGCAATCAACTGGTAAGCACCTGCCCACAAGCCAGATCCAATCAGTTAGAGAGCCAGATCTGGCCTGTGGGCTGTATTTTGCCTGCCCCTGAACTAGACAGACATCCCTTAAATCTAAGAACATTTACCTAGGGGATCTTCTGCAATACTTGTCAAGTTTGAAAGAACTTATTAAAAATAAAAAGGAACAATGAGCAAAACAGAAAGCCTTAAAATTAATCATTCCAATTCTTTTCCGATTTCAGTCAACAGTAAAACTCCTATTGGTTGCATTGTTGCAAGGTCAGGCCCAATTTTTATGCAAATCAAATTCTGATCAATAGCCATACCAAAGCAAAGTGATCTATCTCTTGATCTCTTTTCTGCATCTGCTCTATCGTACTTTCCCACTGTCTGATAAGTTCTTGCCTTTCATGGTGAACTCTGCGAAAATCTTCAGCTATCTTGTCCAGCTCAATCTGTTAAAAATGGAGCCTCATTAACAATGATGTAAATGCCCCACATAAGGTAGACTAAGTTTCCATTTGATTTATGTACGCACCTGAGCAGTTAAGGTTTCTGTAAGCTCGTTATCAAGATTTTTGCGTTTCTGATTAGCTTCCATGGTCAACTTTTCTATCTGTAGAGTCAGCACCTGAAATGAAATGATGTAAACGTTAAGATATTGAATTAGAAACAAATACAAAGCTTTGCCTTGGTTAAATAGGAAGCTCCTGAGCCTCTGGTCTGTATTGTTCAAGATCGATAAAAAGCGATGGGCTCACTCTTGCAAGCGTTTGCTTCTGCAAGGATCCTATACTCATTATTTTGTGTGCTATCAATGTGATATCAAAGATCATTGTGACTAGTTCTGCAAGCTAAGGTGTCTGGGTTAAGTGTTTCATTCAGTACAGATGGTGATAAATTAATTTTTTATTTGAACACTGTGAAAAGAATGTTTAAGTTTAATCAATAAAAGATTTTTTCTAAGTGAATGTTCTACTTTAGACAACCTTTATGAATTTTGCACCTATTGCTTAATGAGTCTAGTTTATATTTAATGACAGGGTTTCATCGTTCCTGTCAGCTTTATTATAGTTGCTTATTTCATCCTTCAAGATATTAAGCAATTATTCCAATTGGAACATCTAAAGTAATTATACTTTTTTTTCAGGAGGGTCATATCATGTCATGGATTTTGAGGGTTAACTCCCTGTTAAATTCAGTTAGAGGTTCTTCTTGAAACTGACTGCAGTTTTCTTATAATTAGCCATAATTAAATATTAATCTACTTTTTTGTTATATATGAAAAAATAAAAATTTAACACTTATCCATCAAAACAAATACACTCTGGTTAGTTTCAAAATATGCAAGTTAACCCCTTACAAAAAACTTATGTATTGAACTTTTAACATGGGTTTCACTTATAGTTCCATTAATTTATGATGGCACGGCAGGATGCTATAAATGGCTTCTTCTTTCGTTAAAAAATAATTATAGCTTTAATACAATGTTTTGTTAGATCTACATACCCTTAATTTCCCATCATCTTGTTGGGCATACTTCTGGATGGTGACTGCATCATTGTCTTTACGAGCTGATTCCTCTAACCAAGCCTCTAAAGCTTGATGATCCCAGTTCATCTGGCATCTTAAGGCTTCCAACTTTTGAGTGGTTTTGAAAATGTTATTCTAATAACATTTGAAATAAAAGTTCTGTAATTAATAATATGCTGAGCACAAAAATTAAAGCAGACAATTCACACTGTTGGAATCTAGAAATTTAAAGGTCTCTGACAGTGCTGTTGGGCAGATCAGTTTCTTTCCTATGGCCACTTTATGTTTGGGTGTTAAAAAAAAAGCACAGCAATAAGTTATCTTAAACTGAGGTAAGTAAAGCTTTGCAATATGATGCCTAATATGTAGTGTTAATGCACACTGGGTAAGAGATTCATCCAATGCAATTCACCCCTCACAATCCAAGGGTTAGATTCTGATATCCTTCTGTACAGTGAATAATGCTTTACAAGCGATCCCGAGTGACTCCTGGGAGATGCCCTAATGTGAATGTGTGTAGCAGAATACAGCCTCAAGTGTACAGCCAGGAGGAGGAGGAGGATCTCAGTTGTTCTGGCTGTTGAGAGAGACAGAAATTTAACAAAAGAAAGGAGAACGAAGAAAGCCAGCTTAAAGTAAAAGGCATAATAGTATGAAGAAAAGAAGAGAGAACAATGCATTTATTTCTTTTATAGTGCATTTCTTAACTGCCACAATTACTATTTGTTTGCAGACGACAAAACAAAAATGTATTTGAAACCATGCTCATCCTTTAAAGTACGATAGGGGTATTTAAAATAAAAGAGAAATACCTAGACAAACTAACAATGTAGTGGTGTATAAGTATGCATTTATAGCATTCAGCATATCTGTCTTACTGTCATTATTTATCTCTGTCTGAACGCCAGTTCTCTGCCTTTGTTTGGCAGGGGGTTTTTTTAGGTGCTCAGTGGCCTCACTCCCACAGACTTCCTGCAGGTGGGAAGCAGGTATCTCAGTGGATTTATTCTTTAACTTTCTCTCTCTCTTCTGTCCAACCTATGGAGCGCGCTCATTAGGGCAAGGACTTGTTATTTTATTTGTCTATAAAATGCCATGGCACCCTGGTTACTTGATAGTAGTAGCTGCCTCTGAGCTGTGCTACAAGAAGGCTTTACCTCACACTCATAGCTAAGGTCCCTGCAACCAAAAGCAGGCTAGAAGAATTATTCCCAAATGAATGTAAAAACCTACAATTACATCTTAAGTTTTAAGCCCAGTAATGGACCAGGTTTAACGAGACAAACACTCCTAGCATGTTCCTGAGCAAGGCCTGAAGGACTGAGTCATAAATATTTGTGGTATATCATAAATGTTATGGCTCCATTAAGGTGAACTGTTCTTAAAATTAGTGTCTGGTAACTCCATTTGTCTAAAGAAACAACAAATGAAAGCAAGAAAACTACTGAGAGATAAATCGTCAGTGTCTGTATTATAAAACTCTTAAAATCTTACTTCTTGATTATTTTTCTTTTCTCTTAAGGAAATCATCTCATTTTCCAGCCGTTGAATCTCACTTTTGAGACGTCCAAGTTCTCTCTCAGCAACGGATTTAAAGTGCTTTTCAGTTTCAATTTCATTCTCTCTGGCTCTGTAAAGTGACTAAAGAATAATATTGTTTAATATTTTGCATGGGGTAGATAACAGACTTTTAGCATTTTTACTATTTAAACCAAAATAAGAACTCAAATCAAATACAAATTATGGAATTTGCACGTAGGAATATTGTAAAACAAACAAAATATGGTACTGAGGTTTTAAAAACCCTAATTCCACTGGTATGAACTCAAACTGACTAGCCACTGACTTGACTAGCATTTGGACTGTAAGATATGAAATGAATATAAAAATCTAGTGTGCTGTGTTATTCTCTGTATATACAGATCAACTCTCTCTACCTCAAGTGATTAAGAATACGTCAGCCAATACACAGAATCCATTATTCCACTATTCTGCAGTTCAGAACCAAACAAGACTAAAAATAATTATATTCAAACTAAGTATCTTCATCACCCAGCTCTCTCTCTGATTCAGGAAGCGCAGCAACAGAGAGTATGTTATTGTTTTGAGATGAGAGATGGATTAGACACTGATGCTGCCACATGCCAGCTGGGTGCCTCTCTTTGTCTGGCAAAATTGCTTTAATATATTTTTCCCTGTACAATACCTAATCTCTTACCTACTAGGAGCCTTGCTCTTAAGGGAGAAGAGAGCACATGGTGTTCTCCACTTTGATGGCTAATTAAAATTTGCCATCTAACACATTAAAACTGAGAGGTTGTTCAGCTGCAGAAAAGCCTTCTACGAACCTCTCAGAGCCCATCACCTGGGATGCATCACAGATTCATTATTTGAGTTTATCTCAGGAATTCATTTGAAGTTACAGGTCTGAATTTTCAAACTAGCAATTTGTGGGGCACAATTTTGTATCCCTTAAAGTGGGGGTGATCTTCAGAAAGTTCTGAGCTATGAAAACTGGGCCTCCTTGAGGTGTTCCAACTCAAAATGGAGTCCCCCCCCAATTGCCTAGTGATTTTGGAGAAATTAGGCATGGATTCTTAGCCATATACCAAATGGTACTCAGTACTGTTCTGAAGGTTCTCCAGTAGGGATGCAAATCAGTTTTTGCCTTTCGAATGAGGCTCTCATCCATAATAGAGAAGGGAAATCTTCGTGGCGATCCCAGGGGACCAAGCTGTGTTTTTATCAGATGGAGTTCTAAAGATTAATGTAGCCGGAATAACATTATGAAGCTGCTAAAATGTCATCAGAGAGTGAGGTACTGGTAAAATATACTACTACTAGCCAATTGCCCATCAAGAATGATGTGGAGGGGTAGGCAGGGACAGAGCACCACCACCCCGTGCTGCTGCCGCTGCCTCCCAGGAGCAGGGTGCAGGGGGAAGCTTGCCCTGTCGTCCCCTCCACCTCCCTCTGCCAGCACTCCGCACCACCGCCACCTCCAGCACTGCTGGCCTCACTTCCCGCTCCAAACCTGCTGTCATGGCGGCGCACCACACTCTGATTGGTTGTTTCAGTAACCAATCAGAGTGCTCCAAGAGTGTAATGGACAGACAGACAGACTAAGCCCTTTATTATGTAAGAACTAGCAAATTGCCCATAAGAATGACCGGGGGGGGCAGCAGGGACATAGGCCCATGTCCAGCGCCACCCCGTTCCACTTTGAGGTCGAGCTCACTTCTCCCCACCACCCAGCCTGCCGCTTCAGGGCTGGGGCTGGGCCCAATTCTGCCCCCCACTCCACCCCCTGCCACTTCAGGGCCAGGGCCGGGCTTGCTCCCCACACACCTCTTTTGGTCTGGGGACTTGCCTCCCTGCTCCATCGCCACCACCTCCAGGGAGCAGAGCCAGGGGGAGGGGCAAGGCCAGCAGCACTGGCCTTGTGCCCCTGCTCCATCCCCGCCATCGTAGCGGAACACCGCCACTGCCACCTGTCCAGAATGCTGCTGGAGCACTCTAATTGGTTGTTTCCAATCCAATCAGAATGCAAATTAAGAGAGAACCAATCAGAGTGCAGGCAGACAGACAAAGGCTTTTATAATATTAGAATAGAAATTCTGTGCTTAGTGACTTTCAAATACAGTCTCTTCAAGTGCTTTTACATAGGCTGCTGCCAGACGTAAAAAAAATCCTCCAAAACATGCTGTACCAGAAGAAGCAGTGTGTTGGTTGGACCCGGTTCCACAGTGTCTGTATAGATCGGACACTTCAGTGAGGCTTTTTGGCACTTTAATTAAATTAAATCACCTATTAGATAAAAGAGCCCCACCAAAGGACCCAATCTATACAGATGTTGGGTGAGCTGGGTTCAACTAATGCAATGCCTTTTCTGGGCATGCGCTGGACTTTGCACAGCTGAGTTTAACATACAGCGCTGTGGGGGTTTTTTGGTTTTTGGGGGGGGGTTACATCTGTAAGCAGTTATATGGTATTTAAATAGTATTAAATGTTTCAAATGGGAAAAATAATTGAATGGAAGGGTTAATGTTTTGCCCAAGAACACATAAATACTAGGTGGCAGGCTAGGAAACAAGAGTCCACGAGTCTGATTTTGAACTGACCAATAATAATGTACAACCAGTAATGCCACTGAGATCAGTGCAATTATTCTTGACATAAGTATTTTTTAAGTCACTTCAGAAGGAGCTCCCAGGTTTCCTGACTTCTGGTCCTGTCGCAAAGTTACAGCATTTATTTATATGAACTCTGCAGAAAAGAACTTTTTTATTTAATTATTGGTTATCTTGTATCAAGTCATATCTGTGTGTTCTGAGTGCAACAGTAACCTGTAAAAATTATGTTTGGTTTATACTCTGGCTTGTCAGGAAACAACCTCATTCCCTAATGCAGTATAACCGTGGAGGTCACAGCTACACATATTCTGCAAAGCAACTCTACACAGACCTGGAAATTTGGGCCTGTCTTAGCCAGATGTCTTAGAGTATAAACAGAAACTTAGCTTTTTTTCCCCCACTTTCAAACCCCAGATCTAAGTCTTCTTCAGCATTTTACAGCTAGCTGTCTTTGATCAGCACAAACGTGTTGTATTGAAGTAAACTTCTATTTTTCTTGGACCACACACATCTAACCATTGGCCCCGCGAGTCCTCACAGATAGCTAAATCTGCTCCTTCAAGCTTCCTACTGTGTGTGCTGATGTATTCCGTTATCTTTTTTAAAGGCCATTAAACAAGACATTGCAGATATGGCTGTCCTAATTTCCTGGCCAAGTCCTGGAAGATCAGGTTACGAGAGTTTTCACAAATGGTGACACTGATTTGGACAAAACGGACGAATGAAACGAGGGAGAATTTCCACCCGGCAGGCCGGATCCAGCAGCAGCGACCATTTACCTGGGTGAAGCTGAACTCCTGCCTGACGTTTTTCAAATGCGAGGTCATTGCTTCGCTGCGCTCCTCCAAGTCGGTCAGCTGATTCTGTAGGTTGGCCTTTTCCTTCTGCATCTTCTGCAGCTGTAAACAGTTCATTTTAGTCAAGCAGATGGCATCAAATAAAGACCGAGCCCAGCGCCCATCTGCTGCCAAGTACATGAATGTGATGCCAAAGGGCGCGAGGCCGACAGTACTACAAAAATCACACCGTTGTACAGCCCTCCGGCTGGAAGGGGCCTCCAGAGCTCATCCAGATCCTGAGGCAGGATCACCCCTGTCCAAAACATCCACTACATGCTGTCAACCGTCACCCAACACAGACGGACCCTGCCCTAGGTTGAGTGGGAGATCCGACCCGACACCTGCCCGCCTGCTTCTGGGGATGGTGCTCATGCGGCCAGAGGGGCTGGGCCAGGGCCACGCGCCTGCTACAGAGGAAGGCAACCCCCGCCCAAACCCATCTGATGGGGGGTCAAATTCCCTCCTGGCCCCAAAGACAGCAATGTCCGACCCTGAGGGGAGCGGGAAGACCCTCCAGCCGGGCAGTCCCGCTTATCCGCAGCGGGAGCACGGGCACAACCCCGAGCGCGTCGCACCCGCCGGGGAGGTTCCCCCGGGCTCCGCTCCCCGCCCCGCAGAGAAGAGGCAGCGTCGCCAGCCGCCAAACGTCTGGGCCGAAGAGCCCACGTGCCAGGATGTGGGCCCGACCCGGCTCTCACTTCGTCCTCCAGCGCCTGGTTCTCGACGCTGGCCACGGGGATGGCGAACCCGTCGTCCCAGTCCAGCTCGGCCAGGACAGAAGCGGACGAACCGCTGTCGCCGGCAGCGCCGCTCATGGCTGCGGCCTGCGGAGAGCCACGGCCCGCCCGGCCCCTCCCCCCGCGTCCGCGGCGCCCTGGCAACGGGCTCCCCTGGTTACAGTCCGAACCGGAAGTCGGCGGGAAGGGCTGTACTTCCGGCCCCGGCCCCTCCCCCTGCAGGGCGCGGTGCGGGCTTGGGTGTGGGAGTGGACGCTCCACACAGCATCTACCCACACCCGCGGCTTCAGCGCTACCAGGGGCTGCCTGCGATACGGGGACGGGGAGGTGTCTGGATCAGACATGCACACACCCACATAGACGCCACATAGACACTCACCCACTTACACACCCCACACAGACACCCACACACCACATAGACACTCACCTACATATACACACCACACACCCACTTGTACACACCACATACACACTCACCCAGGTATACACACCACACATATAGACACCCCACACACCCTCATATACACTCACCTATGTATACATACTACACACCCACTTGCACACACCACATATACACTCACCCATGTATACACACCACACCATACCACATATACACTTACCCACGAATACACACCGCACATATAGACACCCCACACCCATACAGACACATACCACACCACACACCCACGTATACACACACACGCACATTTATTATGCCGCCCTCCCAGCTGTCGAAGCCTCAGCTGGTTGTGTGATGTCTTCTTCCCAAACCGCGCGCTTGTGGCTGATGCAAGTCACAGACTCGCAGCCTGCTGTTGGGATTGTTGCGATAAGAGTTTGCCTTCAGAGACTGGTGACGTTGCCAGCTCTTGGGGCTGAACTGCCGGCTGCCTGCCTCAGCCTGATCTAGTGCCAACTGCTGTGAATTCCTCCTGATTCCAGCATTTGGGCCAGGGCTGGAGCTGTTCACACCAAAATGCAGGAAGCTCCTGCCCTGTCAAGGCTTTGCCCTGCTCGTCATTTTCTGCAGGGTAAGTTGAGCAATCGGGGCTGCCCGCAAACTCGATCTGCTGTTGTGTTCAACAGCCCCACGTTCTTCATACAAGGACCCTTCCTCTCAGCAGAAGGCTCTTGTGTCCCCTCCATTTGCATCCGTGCAAACCCACTCTAGAGCAGAGAGAAAGGGACCTTGTTACCCCCAAGTGAGATGATGGTGATAGAGAACTGAGAGAACTCAAGATAAGGCTGACAAAGAGATCCCGAGTGGGGTAGGATTGATGAGGTGGGAGATGATCTGATGGGCTGAATGGGGTTGGAGGCAGAGCTAGAGTGGCATGGGGCAGATGTGGGAATTAGCATTGATGTAGGAGGCAAAACTGATGTAGAAACAGAATAAAGAGTGTAGGCCTTGCCGGATTAACACAGCAGGATTGAATTGGTGGTGAGGGGAGAATCACCAGTAAAAGCAGAAGTGTGGGGGGAAGGTCCTCCAACACCGCAGAACCACCTGTTCAGTACATCTGTGAGGGTGGGACCACTCCTCATGACACACATATGCTGGGAATAAGTAGGAGAGGCTCATCAGACAGAAGAAAGATTAAAAAACCTACCGTACAATCTTTTAATCTTATTATTTTGGGGGCCTGACTCAAGCTTTGCGATGTCTTGAGGCTAGGTGTGTAATTTTGTATTTCAACCTCAGCCAAAACGGGTTCCACAAAACAGGAAAAGGGTAATATTTTGTTCCACTCATCTTAAAATTTCTGGCACTTTATTTCTTTAAAACAACAACAACCAAACAAAAACCTAGCACCTTTTTGCTTTGGGTCAGGGAGTTATATGACAGGCCTATTTTGTTAGAGAACTGGCTTTTGCTGTTCATAGAAAATTTGGCCAAGCCGTAAATTTGTGAACAATTACAGTTTGCACATGCTCAGTAGAGATTTCTTAGATATTAGCAGCTAAATTTGCTGTAGATTCTGTCCCCAGTGAGCATACTCCAGCTGGGACTGAAGAGCTGAGTTTACTGCAACAGCTGCTGTAGTAAGAAAACTATCTGTCCTGTATATTTGGTAACTCCTAAAGGACCTATGGATTGGGAAGGAGGATGCTACTATAGAACTGGGCCTTCCCCTCCCCCAGTTTGGGGCAGTCTGTTGACGTGGAAGCCTAGTGAGGTGGGACTGGAAATACTGGAAAAATTCCATTTCCTATCCTAATTTCCCACCCAGGGAAAAATTCCTATTTGACTTTTTGACTTGGAATGAAATTTCTTTTTGGAAATGTAAAATTCCCAGTACATCAGTCCTTGTATTGCACTCTTATTGTGAAAGCTTCTTTGTCTTTAATTATATGATTGCATACAATTTTCCCACTGAATCTCTCTCTGATTTTGTGGGATGAACCTATTCTGGGGCTGGGGTTGGAGCAGGGCTCTTAGTGAAGGAAGATGTTGTCTGCAAAAGATCTGTCTGGCTTATTGCATAAATTACATAAATTGAAAGGCATTTTGTGAGTGGGACAGGATTGCAGGAAGGTGAAGAGTGATCTCGTGATTAGGGCAGTTAATTCAGTTTTCCAGGACAGAATTTCTGTCCTTGCTTCTGCCATTGTGTTCTGCTGTGAAGCTGGGCAGATTGTTTCACCCAAACCTTTTCATAGGTAAGAGATTACAGGCATGTTCTTCAGTGTCTGGGTGCCTGACTTTGGACCTTGTGATCTGATCAGCAGAAGTGGTCAGTATTCCCAGCCATTACTGAAAGCAATTTTACCTACACTTTGCATATGCAAGGTATGTCTATGCCATGCACTGTGGTAGATGCCCAAACCAGCTCAAGGGCTAAAAGCAATCACATCACAATGGAGCAGGGGACTAGTGGAAAGAGATGGTACGCCATCCTGTAATTAAAAACATTTGAATATGGCAGCCAAGAGTAAGGGTGCCTGCTTTTTTTTCCCTTTCAGTTTTGAATGCTTGATTTGCAACATTAATAGATGTGTTTTAATGTGATGTTCATGTGTAATGTTTATAGAATACTTTGAAAATATCACTGACTATTATTTCCAGATTTTCTTGGAAATTCCATGCCTATGGATTTATCTCAGGCCTGATGCTGACTAAATAAATCACTGTAATAAGCTTTGGTGAGTGCAGCTTTTTCTCACCTTCTGCCTGTGGAAATATATTCTGAACATACACGTATAAATGTTTGACAGATGCACTAATCCAGTAGATGGTGCTGCATGTCTGTATATTTCAATTTTTTTAATAATAACTGAGTTATCAAGGTTCTCTGTTAAAATGGAGAGCCTGATTCCTATTAAAAACAATCAGAAAAGGTTTCTTTTCCAGTAAAATCTATGGGTGTTGTGTTAGGGCTATATGAAAGAAATTGGAAGTAATTGTTAACAAAAGAAGACGATGCCATAGCAAACTATTTTTTACAGCTTATTCTGTTTCTGAATCTTTGTCTACGAAGACCGTTGCCTTGATCTGTCCAAAATACATAATATAAAATCATGGTTATTTTGCTTTATAAAGTCTCCTAGTTCCTATTGTAGATAATAAACATCCAGTTTTAGATATACTAAGTTTGTTTATGCTTATTGCATTATACAGTTCATCTGCATGAAAAGAGAGGTTTTCACTGTGGTTTGGTTTCCAGTAATGATGATCCACAAGGTGATTTTTGTTACCTTTTTGTTCAGAAAAAAACCCCAAATGTAGACAAATGGATTTTTCAAGAAGTTGATGCAAGTCATCAGGAACAACTGGTTTATTTAAAAGGGTTTTTGTCTACTTTTTAGGATCAGTTAAAATTAAGGATGAGCATTTGTGTGTGGGGGGGTCTTTTTGTTTTAAATCCACAATCTACAGGTTTGCAAGTTTCATATAAAGAAATAGAAAATATGGCATTTTATATATGGGTCCTACCATCCAGTGATCTTGCAGCATGACAGCAAAAAAAAAAAAAAAGAGAAATATTTTTAGACTTTCTTTACAGATGGTAAACTAAGGTCAGTCAGGTAGCAAGATGAAAGAAGCTGCACGTTGGGAGGGAAAAGACATTAAGGGGACAGTAGGAGTGAGAGGGAGAATAGCGTGAATGTAGAGATGTAGGGCTGACATTATGAAAAGTACTGCGTTAATAGCTGATGTGAGAACACAAGTGAAAAAATAATTATAAGGAGATATTATGGGCCAAGGATTGACCTTGAGAATTATTTCTGTATTGATTAAAACATGGTTTCTTTACTGCATCATTGATCTTACTCCTTAGATAAGTAGAAACTAATTGCACCATAAAGGGATGTACTTAACATCCAGGACTGTTGTACTATCAGTTATAGAACATCCATTGGTAGCCAAGGAACAGAATAAAATTGGCAGCACCTTTGATTTGTATTCCTCTTCCTCCCTGAATAAAGATAGATCTGGACCAAAATCAAACTCCCCTGAACTCTGCAGAAGTTTGTGATTGGATGTAAATTTTATGTTTCAGTCTCATCTCTAGTCCATCATGGTCTCCAATAGCCTTAGGCTATGCTTAAAAATATTTACCGACATACTTAGATTGGTGAGGAATATGATTCAGGCTGACAGCTATACCAGCAAAAGCCCTAGCATTGATGCAGTAATGCCAGAAGAAAAGTCTATTTGCTCTAATACCTTATTTCGCTCAGAGAACTAGAATAAGCTAAACCCAGAAAAAATGCATCTTCAGTAGGAGGGTTTGCCAGTACAGCTAAACCAGCAAGCCTTTTAAGGGTAGACACAGATGTAGTTATGGCTAAGATGGCGATTTGTCTTTATAGCCCCTGTGAGCAGCAGTCAGTAGAGGGCACTGAAGTCAGCAGTCAGATCTGTGCCTGCTGACTAGACTGTGGATTTTCAAAACATTGTTCATGTAAAACCATGGCTAGGTTTTATTTAATAACCTTCTAACCCCCACTCTCCTCCTCCTCCCCTGTGTTCCTCTAATGTCTTTTACAGCTCTCGCTGCACAGCATAAAGCCTTACAGCTGTATTCATCAATGACTCACCCTTGCTTAGGGGCCAATTTTCATGGAAGCTATATAGTAAAATCTTGAAATGTACCTCTCCCATGCAGTG